CTTTCTCCTCGTGACCTTGTCATGGGTGGGATCTCATGAGCTGGCCTTTTCAAAACCCCTGAAAACCTGATCCGTCTTGCCTGTCAGGTTTTCTCCCTCATGACCTTGTCATGGGTAGGATCTCATGTGCCGGCTCCCGGCACACAAGTTTGATCCATGGGTAGGGAAGATCCCCTGGAGGAGGTCAATATTCTTGCCTGGAGAATCCCATGGACAGAGGAGCCTGGCAGGCTACAGTCCATAGGGTCACACAGAGTTGGACATGACTGAAGCAACTTGGCACATACATGCATGTAGACTTGAGTTCCAGTTCAGCAACTCACAGCCTGTGTGATCCTGACCAAATTATTTTCTGAGCCTGTGAGGTCAACAGTATTTGGCTCCCATCCCTCACAAGGTAGTTTTCAGATGTATAACCTCCATTAATTGAAGTAAAGAAAAACAAGCAGGTTAACAAGTTATTTTAATATGTAAATGCATATTACACAAATGTATTTTTTAAAAAAGAATCAAATTAAAAACTGTACCTGAGAGTATGCAAATTAAAAATGCTGAAAAAAAAGTTTTGTTCATTTTTTTAAACGCAGACCTACACAGATTTTTCCTGTTGATCTAATGGTTATCATTTCTTCTTTCTATTTTCCCCTGCCAAGAGGCAGCCCTTTAGCCCTGGGAAGTTTCCTCAGAGTTGATCTGGCCATGCCCCTGACCTGAGGTGGTGCTCAAGGGATGATACAGTAGGAGGATAAATTTCCTCCCATGAAAGATGTAATAGTCCCAGTTCTGAGACTAATTGTAAATTTGGGATCCCTAAGACTACCTTCAATTTTGGTAATTTACTAGAAGGCAATTTAACAGAAATCATTACCGTGTTAAATACATATGCTCTGGGACTTCCCTGGTGGTTCAGCGGTTGGGCATCTGCCTGCCAATATAAGGGACACAGATTCAGTCTCTAAGATCTCACACACCGTGGGGCAATTAAGCCAATGCACCACAAGTATTGAGCCCATACTCTAGAGCCCGCATCCTACAACTGCTGAAGCCCTAGAGCCTGTGTTCCACAAGAACCAAACTCAGTGAGAAGCCCATGCCCTGCAACTAGATAGTAGCCCCTGCTCACCAAGACTAGAGAAAATCTGTGCGCAGCAATGAAGAGCTTGTGCACTACAACAAACACAACCAAAAACAAAACGGCCTTTTCAGGGAGTAATACCCACTCTTTGAGTTTATCCACAGAAATACTGTCATTAATGCATTAAAATATTTTCACAAATGCTCAAAAGTTCCTCCTTATAGCATTGTTAAGTAAAAAATCAGAAATAATCTGTGTGTTAATCATAGGGAACAATTTTATAAATACAATATATCCATTCTATATTATAGTATATTAAGAAGCCTTTTAAAAGAGTAAACTCTGTAACAACCTAAAGAGGCAGGGTGTGGAAGGAGGTGGCAGGGAGATTCAAGAGGAAGGGCACATATACATGCCTATGGCTGATTCATGTTGATGTTTGGCAGAAACCAACACAATACAGCAAAGTAATTATCCTTCAATTAAAAACAAAAAAAAAAAGAAAGAGTAAAATAAATGTCTATATACTCATGTGAAAAGAGCTCTAAGACATTCACAAAACCATCTGCATAATATAATTCTGTTTAGGTGGACAAAATGAATGTGTGTATATTTATGTTCTCTGAATGGTTGTAAATGTAGGGAAACATGCCTGGGGGAAAAATATTCATGATGATAACATTTAGATAAAGAAATAGAATTTTGAATAGAGGTAAGTGAGAGTGAGTTTTACTTATTATTCCACATATGCTTCCTGTTCAGAACTTTTTACAATGACTATATTACATATGCAACAACTTAAAATATCAGCTCTCAGACTGCCGTGGGTGCTCCAGTGGTTAAGACTGCACTAGGGCTCCATGGCTGGTGGAGGAACTAAGATACCACATGCCTTGAGGTGTGATCAAAACAAAAAAGAATGTAAAAAATATGTGTATAATATATCAGTTCCCCAGGTTTCTAGATTTTCACCTACATAACATAAGATCAATGTATTCATGGAACTGTCCAGAGAAGCAGAACCAATACAAGCTATATAGACATAGGGAGATAGAGATGGAAATAGAGATAAAGAGAACTGATTCAACAAGTTATGGAGACTGACAAATCCAAAATCTGCTGAGCTAATGTCTCAGTTTGAAGGTCCTTAGGCAGGAGGACTGTCTCTTACTTGAGGGAGAGTACACCTTCCCCCCGCCCCGGCCCCATTGAAAAGGTGCTGCAGTACAAATGATCTGTGACTGGTTGGATCTACGGATGTACAAGCACCTGAATGGAGGGCCAACTCTATAAAGTTATACTCAGATTTTAGACTGGTGGGGGCAGAATCAGCACCATTCACCCCGACATAGTTCATTTTTCAAGGGTCATCTGTATAAAATCAAAATCCGATTTCCATAAATTATGTACTTAAGTTGTTAAATTTAACAATAATATATCAGAGTGTTTTACAAAAATGGAAAGAAAATATAATGACTCTAGGTGTCCTGCCACCAGTTTGTGAATTACATCTATTTTGTGAATTATAAATTTAGAAGACCAAAACTGAATGATAAGGCAATTTGTGCAAACCAATGTTCCCTTTCACTTATTAAAACTGTGCTCACTTGTTGCTCAGTCGCTCAGTCATGTCTGACTCTTTGTGACCCCACGGATTGCAGCATACCCGGCCTCCCGTCCTTCACTGTCTCCCGGAGTTTGCTCAGATTCATGTGCACTGAGTCAGTGATGCCATCCAATCATTTCATCCTCTGTCATTCCCTTCTCCACTTGCCTTCCTTCTCCCAGCATCAGGGTCTTTTCCAATGAATCAAGTCTTCACATTAGGTGGACAAATTATTGGTGCTTCAATTTCAGCATCAGTTCTTCCAATGAATATCCAGGCTTGGTTCCCTTTAGGATCGACTGATTTGAACTTCTTACTGTCTAGGGACTCAAGAGTCATCCCCAGCGCCACAGTTTGAAAGCATGAATTCCTCAGTTCTCAGCCTTTTTTATGGTCCAACTCGCACATCTGTACAACTACTGGAAAAACCATAGCTTTCACCAGACAGACCTTTATCAGCAAAGTGATGGCTCTGCTTTTTAACACTCTGTCTAGGTTTGTCATAGCTTTTCTTTCAATGAGAAAGTATCTTTTAATTTCATGGCTGCAGTCACAATCTGCAGTGATTTTGGAGCCCAAAAAACAAAGTCTGTCACTATTTCCATTGTTTCCCCATCTATTTGTCATGAAGTGATGGGACTGCATGATCTTAGTTTTTTGATGTTGAGTTTTAAGTCAGCTTTTTCACTCTCCCCTTTCACCTTCATCAAGAGGCTCTTTAGTTGCTCTTCGCTTTCTGTGAAGCAGTGTCGTCTTTCTGTGAAATGGTGTAGTCAGCATATCTGAGGTTGTTGATATTTCACCTGGAAAACTTGATTCCAGCCTGTAATTTCTGCAGCCCGGCAATTTGCATGATGTACTCTGCATAGAAGTTAAATAAGCAGT